CAACACCTTACAAATCACAGATAAAGAAGTCTAAAAAAGTGAGTTTTCAGAGAGCATTTAAACACATTAAAAGATTCTGCATGTCTAATATTATAGGGGAGAGAGTTCCAGAGTTTTAGAGCAAGGGAGGAAAATGCCCGGTCACCCATAGAGCGTAGACGAGTTGAGAGAACAGTCAAAAGGCCAGAATCAGAGGAACAGAGAACACGCCTAGGAGAGTAAACAGTCAGAAGTTTTGATAGATAATGAGGAGCCAAACCATGCAAGGCTTTATACATAAGCAGGAGAATTTTGAAGTCAATACGAAACCTAACAGGGAGCCAGTGTAAGGATTCCAAAATTGGAGTGATGTGCTCCCTAGTTCTGGTCCCTGTCAGGATTCTAGCAGCTGAGTTTTGGACATACTGCAGTTTATTTAGGGTAGTCTTTGAAACACCTGCAAGCAAAGCGTTGCAGTAATCGATGCGGGAGAAAACAAATGTATTGATCAGTTTTTCGGCCACAGTAAAGGACAGCATGGGGCGTATTCGTGCAATATTTCTGAGATGACAAAATTACTTTTTAACAGTGTTCTGAACATGGGGGTCAAATGTTAAATGAGCGTCAAATATCACCCCCAAGTTCTTTCATTTTGTTTGAAATTCCAAGACGGAAACATCTACAGTAAGTGTTTGTTAAATGTCCAGCTTTACGTAGTTGGTGGGTTGAGCCAATAAGCATAACCTCTTATCACTGTTAAGGCAAATACAATTTTAGACATCCATATTTTTATCTCAGAGATGCAATGTTCCAGGAAAGCAACAGCTGGATAGTCACCCGGTTTTGAGTGAATGTACACCTGGGTGTCATCTGCATTGTAGTCAGGGTTTGAAATTAACTTTTTCTCTCACCAGTCAATTTGGCTACTAAATTTTTAAGTTACCGGCCATTCATAATTTCTACTAGCCAAAAAAATTAAACAAATAAATAATGAAAAAAAGGCCGGAGGTAAGCCAACAGCTTGAGGCTGTCCACACTGGATGTCACAAAGTGACCATTGCAAATCATTTATCATTTGTACTTTGTCAAACAGTAGGCCTACGTCATAAATAGAACGAGGCATCAGTTTACTGTCGGGGATTTGTCGTGCTGTGCTGTGCCACATCCAGTGTAGGCCGCATCACCGATTATAATGGGTTCTATAGTATTTTGTCGCATCTGGTGTAGACACGGTGCGAGTCTTCAGGCATTTTTTGACTTTTCATTATTGCTTCAATGCAAAGGAAACCAGTGCGCCCGCCACGCCATTATTTGTTGCGTAGTGACGGGTACAGGGCTGGACTGGGGTTAAAATTCGGCCCTGGACAAATCCAACCTATCCAGCCCTTAAGTTCCCCTGTGAATGTTTTGCTGTGTTATAGGGCCTTCAATTGGAGTAAGTAAATAAATAAATAAATGAGGACAAAAACAAATAATGATATATTTCTGAATTCCAGAACCTTTAATGTTGTCATATCACACAACTGTATAACACAATTCTGTGTCATTTCTGAATGGATCGAGCGATTTGTGCTGTTTATCTCTTATAAATCGTGGTGGAAGCGCAGTGCTGCGCGGGAGACTGATCCCGCTCTGTTTTAATGCGCGGCTGGCGGATGCCAGCGGTAGCACCGCTTCACACTTTTGGAGTACTTGCTTTTTGCAGTTTCGCGCGGGTTGTAATTTAAAAACAGCGCCTAATATAAGGTCTCCCTCGCTTCGGCGATCGGCCCACCGGGAATGTCCCGGTGCTCCCGATGGCCAGTAGCTATATCGCTGGGTATGTTCAAGTAAGCTAGATATGCCCAGATGCTGCGCAATTAGGCTTATTTAATATATCATGATGAGTCTCGAGTTCAGTATTT